TTTCGCTTAGATATATTTTATATGAATTTCCAAAACTTTTTCATATTTTCAATAACTCTACTCTAAATTTTTCTTTTATGTTTTGTTTTTTTTTGTTAATGTACAATTTGTACAATTTTAAAATAAATTTTGTATATTAATTACTAAAAACAATTCAAAAGTGTGTCTACTCTATTATTATAAGTTTCATAACATAATAGTATTTTTATTATGGACAACGAAATATAAAATTATGTTATCTGCTTTAAAAAAAAATTATCTTCTAATATTAATAAATATTTTGTTTAAATAAATAGTGTGCAATAGTGTATATTTTAAATTTCTGTCTGAATTAAGATAAACATATTCAATAAAAGTCATAAAATAAAAAAGTAGTAATGTGTTTTCGACTATTATAACTTAAATAATGAATACTTGATAATGTAGGTAAACCTATTATCACAATGAAATGTTACTACCTAAACTGTGTAAATTATTTTATTCACGATATCATTTTATTCTATTGTTGAAAGTAGGTACCATCATACGATGTAATCTCAAACGTTTCCATACAGGTACGTGTACTTTGGAATTTAAAACAAAGGTGTCACAAATCGCTTACGCGGCTGGGAGCACAACATGTATTTTGATCTGTCTGTTATTATGTTAACGAAAATCATTAGGTACGTTGCTTTGCATTGACTTCTTTGTTCTGGATATCTAAATATGAAATGTAATAAATTATTTAGGTATAATATTCATTGAACTTTCAAATAATAAACTTTCATCTATTAGAATTTATTATTTTCTGGGATAATAGTAGAGTAATGCCAACTTAGTTGTATGGATTATGAAAATAATTACTTTATTTAATACGATTTTGAAACTCATTATACTATGTTTGCAATTAATTAATTTAAATTTTGTTGTGAGGCTCATTCCCTGACTGACAACGATATATCTAAATATTATATGAGACTATTAAATTTGTAATGCCTGTAAATAGTAAAAAAAATATATTTTATACTTATTATATTGCCTAATTATCGGAAAATGTATGTTGTATTTCAACAATTGGACACAAGCAATCTAATTATTCAGCACAAGTTTTATGTTTTTAATTCGTTACCAATTATGACGAATGGTATCATCGGTCGCGATCTTTTAAGAAAATATAGATCAGTTTTGCAATTTGATTCGAATATTTTAATATTAAATGACCATCTAGGCAGATCATAATAAAACCTATTTCCAACACTTGTAATAGGTAATTCCTTGGCAAGTTCTTTTTTCTTTTATTTCACTAATGTGATAAGACGGGTTAAGATACTCAAAGTTTTGTGTTGAATGGCAAGGATTTAAGTATAATTTATTGAGAGATTTGACAGATAAAAATAAATTCAGTGAGTGTTTTATACACATTGGTTAGAGTAAATTGAAATATTAATTTATTTCAGCAATGAAAAAAAATGTTGGAATATTAATAGGTAAAGCACAAGCTAAAGCAATCTGATAGATAATTAGCTATTTCAGTGATAGTCGGGTGCACAAACGAGTATGATGGAAATGCTAAAAAGTCAATGAGAACTTTTCGTAGACATCAGGGTTTTAGAAAGGATAAAAAGTACACATAAAATGATATCAAGTTAATTGCAAAACGCATTATTATTGTTGCCCACCTATATACCTACTTGAAAATGTTAACATGTTGTTGTAACGTTGGTTAGTACCAAAAATCGACAGGTTTAATGACGTACTAAATAAAATCGCATGCGTATCCTGGATTGACTCGATAATATTATGTATAACCTGACCTGATCATGATCATGAGATTATAATCTTTTTTTAATGAATTAATTTTATATTTTGTTTAACTGCTTTATTTTACTCAATTGAGGAATTATATAAATTTAATGGTTAAGTAACATTGTATTTCATTTTAATTTTCAATATTAAATTTATTATTATGTAATAAGATTCAGGGTTCATATAATATTATAATTAAATATTACATGTAATCATTAATCATTTTTATTATATCTGTCAAGAAAATAACATGTAAAAAAAAGTAAATAGAACACTTTTCTTTTTTTCTTAAATATCGGGGGAGGTGTAGTGTATATGCCTCCACCCTACTAGTAGTGTAAGAAATACATGTACTCTTAAGTTTATTGATCAGTATAATTAAAGAATTAGTCTCAGCAACACGTCTTCTCTTTCATTAACACCTGCCGACATCACAGGGACATCCTGGCAGGGTCGCCATGTAGTGTTGGGTGGTTCGGGGAATAAATAAAACGTCCAATAGTCTAGACGGTAGGTTTAATACTAACTCTCTCTTATTCTATCCTACATATATATAAGCACACACTACAGAGTTAATTAAGTGAATTATATCAGGTTTCTTATTCCTGATGCTCTGACAATTCTACTGGATGAGGGTTAGGGACTCGAATTTTATATATTCTGGAGAAGAGGACATCTAGTTTGTTTTTCACGTTGAACGGTAAATGGGAATCATCAAATTTGCCAACAATATCTGTAAGGGAGGCTACAAGATTTTCTAGAAGATTATCATTAGAGGATATTACATTGTTTTGTAAAGCAAAATGCACTGCAAATGGACACTGGGGAGAGATGAGGAAGGAGTACTTGTAATGTTATAATGTGAAACTTTATCATAACCTACTGAAGATTGCGCTGGGATAGATTTGGATTTATAGATGGTTTTCCTATAGGATTGGGAAGGAGATGGAAAAGTAGGAAGGTGTATAGGTGTCTGAGTAGAGGGGAGATGGCTTGCAGGAACTTGTGAGCATGCAACATCAAACTGCTAAACGAGCAGAAGTCTCAAGGTATGACACATTCTCTTGCGACATTACTATCTTGATAGCTTTTTGCCTTGAGTGTTCAGGGCAACTTTTTTCAATAGCCGAATGGTTTGCAGAGCAGAAAAGACAGGTTGGGGAATCTGTGGGACAATTTTCTTCAGTATACTTTTTGCTGCATTTAAAGCAGCGTGGTTTGGATCGATATTGAGCTTTGACATGACCGAAACGGCAGCATTTAAGACACAAGATGGTAGGGAGAAGGTAAGTCTCTACAGGTATTGATGCATAAAAGCAGTATATGTGGGAGGGGAGCACTTGTCCAGAGAATGTTAGGACAACAGTTTGAGTAGGGACCCACTCTACTTCATCATCCTTTTTTACCTTTCTATTAAGTCTTCTGGCTTTAATGATTTCCCCTCTGTCAGGAGGGAGCTCGGATTCGCAAACTAATTCCTCCATAGAGATGTCAGTTGGGATATCCCTAATCACACCCATACGAGTAACATTAAAAGTTGGAATGAGAGCCGAAAGTTTATATTGCGAAAGAAACTGAGAGTCAATAAAATTATTAACATTAGTAGCTCTTTTAAAAGCAATTGAAACTTTATTATGCCCTAAGATTTTGATGCCCGGTTTTTCAATATTGGCTACTTTATTTTGTGAGAGGATATGGCCAATTTTCACAAGTCTAATTGTATAACCTGCTGATGGGTCAGGTTCTGAGTGACTTAAATGAATAACGAAGGGCCCCTTATCGCTATCTACATACTTTTGTTTTTTTCTTGAAATTCAGGGTTAAATTCACGTATCTATAAAAATACCTAAACTGCGAAACTACCCGCTAAAACATGTTTAAATGAAGAACTTATAATATTTATATTTTATCGGGCTGTCGTGATGATAATGATATTTCAGTCTTAATTCAACTTTAATAAAAAATTATTCATATTATTAACCTAGGTGCAATAATCCATATCTACGACACTATTTTAACTCTACGAGGATACACAGATTTTTTTTAAATTTAATTCTTTATGTAATGAATTTATAACTTCGTTATTTCCGTATTGTATCTACGTCTTGCAATTCCTCCGCCGCAGTGCTCCAGCACAACTACGGTAAAGCATCACTTCCAATAAAGGCGAACGTATCCGTTATAATACTGTCACTACCTATTATACCTATAATAAATTTATAGTCTGGGCGAATGTCAAATACGGACACGCTGCCGGGCATTTCTTAAAGCACATGTGGAATGAAGGTAGCTGTTTTCGTTTGGCTTATTGCTGTTGTTGCCCAAATGATTATTTTATTTCGCACTAGTAATGGAACTATTTTCTTAAGCGTTGACTTATACAGGGTTATTTTGCAATAACCAGACAAATATGCAGAGAAGGTTCAGAATATGTAATATGGGCAAATGGTGAAGAAAATTAATTAAAAAAAATCTCAAACATTCTGTCCTATTTATCTTTTGAATTCAAAATGTGTGGTAATGCATTTTTTTAACTGTTTTTACTGCGCACGCACACATTCGTAAGGGTCGATTGGTAGGCAAAAACGATGTTACCCATAAATCACATTCAAGTTGGGTAATTTCAAATAAAAGTAGAAGATTTGTTTATTCGTATTTTCTAAAACTGCAATAACTATATTATTAAACTTAAGTTTACAATTTGGCTATTATTTGAAAAATAACCCCTGTGTATGTGGCAATTGACCGTATTACTTTGGACCAGTCGTATTCCTCAATGCATCCTAATAAAATGCTCGCATAACTATAATAGGCTAAATTTTGAATTTCGTCATAAAAGATTTCATTGGATACAATATGGCTCATCTTTATGAGTAATATATATAAGTAATTATAAATATATATAAAATTAGACGTGGTAGAGACACGCTGCAGCTATATTATGTTTATGCAACAAATGGGTCAACTCGACTGAGGAGGGACCACGCTCTCACAGAATACCGGCGTAAAATAACAACTTAATGGTGATGTGTTTCGTATAATGAACGTAGAGAACCGGAAATCCTTTTAACGGGGAACGAGGAATTCCATCGTAGTCCTAAGGGTGGGACTGTTTGCTCGTTTGTGACGCTTATTCTATAAAAATGATTTTTATTTTAAAAATCGACTTACCAATTGCCTTCTTTACCAATAAAAACTGTTAATGTTTGATTAAAATGTCGGTTCGTTTTGCAGTGGCGAGTCCGCCGGGCGGCGCGGGCGCACCGCGAGACGACTCGCCGCGCCCGCCACCAACGCCCGCGCCTCGCAACGGCACCCCTCCCAGTAAGCACGCTCTCCGACTATGCGGCTATCACGACGCAAATTTTAAGGCTTTAAGAAGTCTGATGACCTTGACGAAACTGAGACCGCAGATATTACAGGGCGACGGAGCAAGCACGCTCGCGCGGATTTGCTCATTTTCGGAAAGAAACAATAATTTTACGAGTAGACCGCGGAATAAAAATAAAACCTCTCAATTAAGAATATAAATATTTTTAAGACCCTTTTTTCTGTAAAAACTAATTAAAGAACTCGTGCCGATTTGAATTTTCGAATTATGGCAAATATTTCTTAATAGTGACAAAATAACAAGAAACATTTATCGATCTTTAGCTGTCAATCAAAATATTTTGTTTATGGTTTAAATTAACAGTTATTATGATGTTTCTACTGAAATATCCAATACTTTAAGGTACGGTACGTTAGGTAGAGCGGGTGAACGCTCTTAGGGTCATCGTTGACCCTTCGTAAACTTTTATTATAAAATAGTCTGTCACCAGATTAGTTTGGTATCTGTAGCTCAACTCACGTTAAGAGGATTGTGAAATCGATACGCGGTGCGTGTAGGTACTTTCAAAAACGCCATCTGTTTCATACCGCTGGCCTCGTATCGCCGTATGTGCGATAAAGAGTTGCAAGTCTTGAAGACAATTGCCTACATTTCCTTTTTAAAATATTATTGTTATTATTAGAGATCAAAAGTCTCAACGGTACAAACTGTCACGAAGAGAAAATTTTTGATTTTTAGAGAACAGCTTCTAAAATCGCTTATTAAGCTGATAATAATTCTATACAGAACATTGTAATTGTAAGAAGGATAGGGAGTGAAATGTAATGAAATTCTACTGGTGATAAGACTCCTTTTCTTCCAAGGAGTCCGTTTGTGTATGTACCACCCTCTGACTTATTTCTGCCGCCAGAGAAGGATGTAGAGAGCCAGTATAATTACAAGGCTTTGAATCAGTCTTTCCATTTAGTCCTCAGAGGTGACAACGCATCTGTAGCTTTCTTTGTTTGAATTCGGTTGTAGATGTCCGTGGACTACAGTAGCCACTTTCCATCGGGATTTTATAAAACGGAATCGCGTTTTTAAGCGTAAAATAAAAAGCTTTTTTTAAATAACAAATTTAGTAATTTGTGGTCAAAATATTATATGCAACAAAATCATTCTGGAACTAGACTACAAGATGCAGTGCCATCGCATGAAAATCTTTAAACTCGCAATATTTCTGCATTTCGTACAGAGTAAGTAACGAGAGAGACTTATGTCTTACTTCAAACTTAAGGCCACAGTACGCATTAGTAAAGTTTGTACGCAAATAGATTCTTAAAAATTGTAAATACGTAATATCTTTTCACAAAGGAAATAGTAACTGAAAATTTCGTGATAGCCGTACAGTCAATCCGTGCACTTTTTGATTGGATGATTGATTGATTTAAACTATTTAAAATGTTTATGCACTATCTGTGTTGGATGCTTTCTCGACACCATGCTCGATGCCAATTATTCTATTCTGTAGAGTTTTATTTAGTAATATATTTTAACACAAAACGGATACTACGCCTAACATTTTCGAGGTGTAAAACCATGTAAAATGCATTGTTATAGACATTTTGTATTTTATTTCCTTTACAATAATTATGAAAAATTTATGACTGAGTTTCTTCTTCTCTTTATTATAAACATTCATATCATACAAAAAATAAAAATAAACTATTAATAAGAACTAAAAGGTGACTTCAAGTATGAAACTAAAAATAATTAAAAATAATATTACGTTCTAAAGTCGGGGCTCCAGTTCTATACAATATGATTTAGCACTGATTTCAGAATGTGAAATTATTTTTTATTCTTTTTTAGTTGTTTAAAGTCGGCTTTTACTTCTTATTAAAAGTTTTTTTTTTAAAGAAAGAGAAGAAGATACTTTAATTTAATCATTATATTTATTACAATTTAATTTTTTACCCGTGTGAGTGGACTAATGAATATCACCATCTCAATATCTAAATAGTCCCATTAATTGTTTGCCACATTGTTCAGATGGAATTTTTCTCCAATTTTATATGGGAGCACTTAATTAAAAAGAATAATCAAAATCGGTTCACAATTGACGAATATATCGCGTAACATACATATTACATACACAAAAAAATACACCCGAATTGTTAAACTTCTCTATTTTTTGAAATTGCCTAAAAATTAATATCTATTTTATCACGTGGTAGAGCCATATCAATAGTATAGTTGTAGCACGAATGGGTCGGCTCGACCGGGGAAGGACCACGCTCTCACAGAATACCAGCGTAAAATAGCAACTTAACACTGCTGTGTTTCGTATGGTGAGTGTAGAGAACCGGAGACCCTTTTTACTGGAAAAGAGGCATTCCATCTTAGTCCTCACGGGTGACAACGCATCTGAGGGCTAAGATGGAATCAACGCATTTTGATTCGCAAACAAGGATAAATGTAGAGGTGTATGAGCCACATCAACCACTTACCCATCAGGTGGACTGTGTGCCCGTTTGTCACCCTACCTATATAAAAAAAAATATTTGCTACATTTTTTTAAAGTAAAGTGTAAAAAATTTCAAAGTATAAATCCTTCTAATAATATTTTGCGTTTATATTTGTACAATTGTCTAAATATATCATTTCACAAGTGTTGGAATAAGTTATATTATTATGACGAGTATTTTATAAACCAATATAAATAGGTGTAAAAATAACTCGAAAGTCAATGCCGTTTTGTGTTAAATATCGACAAAAATTTTTACAGATTAGTTTCACTTTTATCGTCGTTTCTGTTGTTTTTTTTTTTTTATATAAATGATTGCATGCACAAAAATGTAGTACTTTTAATGCCATCTTGTTTATCGGCTTATTACCAAAAAAATTCTTCCATTCTTATATTTTAAAAGCGAATTACGGTGTCTTGTTATCTTTATACTAGTCTCTAATTTGACTTAATTTTCCTTTTGCGTTTATCTTTTTAGCGCCTTAATTATCTTCTTTTTTTATTTGGTTATTTCATCTTAATTATGTTTAAATGAAGTTCGTCTTCTGCTCTTTATATTATTTTTTTTATTATGTACTAATTTACATTTACCTAAGTATCTGATTTATTCACAGTCTTTGTTTATTTATTATTTGCCTATTTTCACTGTTATTATATGTATCTCTTATAACTCACATATACTGGCATGATTGAATGTCGCTTATTTAATTGTTAAATACACGTAAACAATTTGTTAATAGTTTGCTGTTGGACAAATACGTTTTTTCTTAGAAGATGGGGCAAACGAGCATGCGGCTCACCTGATGGTAAGTGACTACCGCCGCCCATGAACAACTGCAAAACCAGGGGAATTGCAGATGCGTTGCTGACCTTTTAGAAAGGTGTACCTAAGCTATTTTCTTGAAGGTCCCTAAGTCGTATCGGTCCGCAAAAATCGTCGGTGGTAAACAATTCCACAGAGAAGTTGTACGAGGAAGAAAACTCCTAGTAAAACGCACAGTCGTGGACCGCCAAGCATCCAGATGGTGAGGATGGTATCGTGAATTTTGACGCGATGTGCGTTCGTAAAATTTGGCGACTGGAATTAATCGGAACAATTCCTCAGAGCAATCCCCGTGGTAGATTCGATAGAAAATGCAAAGGGATGCAACATCCCCACGCAGCGCCAGTGTAACGAGCCGATCAGAAAGAACTCGGTCGTCGACGTTTCGAACCGCTCTGCGCTGGATGCGGTCAAGTGGAAGGAGCTGGCACTAGGGTAACCCGGCCCAGAGATGAGAACAGTGTTCCATGTGAGGTTGAACTTGCACTTTGTGACGGCTGGTAATGAAACAGAAGGTAGGTAGCAGCATTTTTGTGATAACAAATTAAAATAATAAAAAAAAACTAGGGTTGCCGAACTCGCCGGCCAAGCGTAGCAATTTTCGAAAATTTTCCCCCTATAATGCAATATATGGAAAGGTCAGTAAACTTCTGATAAGCTGTAATGAATGAATGAAAATGAATAAATTTGATAATACACTTTATCATGTACATAATCTACAACCTTGGAATTCTGAAGCCTTTTCTGGACTGAGTTATGATAGTAACATAGCGTACGATAGTGGTAATTTGGGACCGATGAACATCGAATGCAAGTGGTGTAAAACTTTTAAGTACAGGGATGAATCTGTGAGAATGTGCTGCGATTCAGAAAGGTCCAGCTCGAACTTTTGCAAAAGCTTCCAGATCTTCTTTACTATTTGATAAAAACCTCCACCCTGAGCATGATCACTTCACGCCTGGCATGGTTGTGATCAAAACACCTTATTTAGAGCTAAAAAGATAATACAGGATGATTTTATACCTACATTCAAAGTGCAGGGCCAGGTGTATCAATTGGTTGGAAGCTTGCTTCCGCCAACCCAGAATGAACCACAGTTCTTACAGATATATTTTGTTGGTGAGGGCGATGGAGATGTTAAATTGAAATGCAATAACTTTCTATATATAAAACCTGGCTTGGTAAGGCGATTACAAGAAATGCTACATACTCATAATGTATTCGTAAGAGAGTTAAAGCTAGCCCTGGACAAAGTATCTGCTACGCCAAATACATTTAAAATTGTTATAAATTATGAAAGAAAGCCGACTACAAATGGCTACAGTGCACGGTATAATCAACCTACGTCAAATGAAGTTGCTTTAGTTTGCGAAACTATAAGAACTATGCTGTTGAAACTTGGTAAGTAGATGTATTCTGTGATCCGCATTAATATTTCCACAAAAAAAAAACAATAAATTTTGGGGATACTTAGAACTGAAACTCAAAAACTTTTTTTCCATCAAACCCATACATGTGGGGTATTTATGGATAGGTCTTCCAAAATGATATTGAGGTTTCTTATATAATTTTTTTCTAAACTGAATAGTTTGCGCGAGATGCACTTCCAAAGTGGTAAAATGTGTGTCCCCCCCCCCTGTAACTTCTAAAATAAGAGAATGATA